TCCGTGAGTTGCCAGATTGATAGGGTGTGCGACGTCAGCCCATAATGACGAATCTTTGATCGTAATGTTGACTGAATCGCCGTACCAGTCATTGCGATGGTTGTAGATAGCAATGCAATCATCACTCGTGCGTAGGAATACATTCTCAATGAGGGAATGCGTGGTCGAGTATAAGTCAATGCCATCACCATAGCTAGTTGCCGAGAATGCCCGCACATTACTTATCGTAATTCCTGTACTCTGGGCAACAAGAAAGCTGGTGTATTTTGTGTTCAACACAGTCACTCCTTCGATGGTGATGTCACTACTATACTCAACGTCGATTGCGTTGGCTGACGGCTTATACAAGATGCCTCTTCCTCGAATTGCTCCCCTGCTGACATTCCGGAAAACCACCGATGCTTGTAGCGCAGCGCCGCCAGCAAGATAGAGTGTCTGAGAGGAGTTCACATAAAGTACGCCACCGTCAACTTTATGCAAACCGGGCCCGAAATAGATCACATTTGGATCGTTGTCATTAGGAACATTTGTCTCGACTTTGTTGCTAAAGAGATTGAGTACATGAAAAATGTCTCCGTTGACCTGAAAGACAACGTTTCCGGGCTTTGATAGCGTGAACTCATATGTGTTGTTGCCACTCGGCTTAGGAATGATTCCATATGAGTATGGACGAACCTCGGCGATGTTGACAGAACCTGGCAGATACTGTACAGAAATGTCGACCGTCCCAGAGAAGTCGAAGTAAGCCATGCCGGAGCTGTACGAGATGGCGCTTCCGGTTGTAGTATTGATCATCTCCACAGTTGCTTGGTACGTCCCTAATGTCTGCCACGGAAGACCAGGTGACCGAACGCGCACACTGTATGTGCTATCGGTAGACACTCCCGATGGGACTGGATAGGTGACCAGTCTGGGAGTGCATGTTGTGTTCGAACTGCTGTTTTGAGTCTGAGCTTGGCATCTGCCCAGACACAGCGCGACCACCAGGAACGACAAAGTCTTTGATAGATGCATGGTGACTTATTCGAAACACCGTTGGATCGCAGGTCGCTGCAAGGCAAATAGGACAATGCCACCATGATGGCAGTAATTTATGCATGTTCTGGAAGATGCCAGGAAACAATAGCAAGTCCCGGGAGTTGGACCGAGAGACTTTGGAGTCGGAACATTGGGCGGACATTGAAAGACAAGCAGTTTTAACACCACTCTTACCAACACGCCACGCCTGTTGTGTTCTAGAAGTAAAGAGTGCGAGAGAAGGCCAACTCAATGCTGCACAGCCGTAACCAAGGATCATGACACCCCGCATTATACCCCACAGAACTTTTAGATCGTGAGGTGGTCTGACATGTTCCTGGAAATCCGGGGCAGGTCTCGGCGTGAAAGATCGTAGATGGTTACAACGAGTGTTAGCGTTGCACTGGTTTACAGCTACATAAAAGAGCCCCTCTCCCTATGTTTCTCCAAAATGTCGGGGAACGCGGCGCCGATTCTGGTCTTAACTCAAAACGTGATATCCCTGAACGGCCTCGAATAATGAATTAGACTTGATTGGCGCGGATGCATAACATATCTAATTTGAACACCGGCGCCTGTGACCGCTGGAACATCGATTATCGATTGAAACCCTAAATTCTCGGGCAGCTCATTTGCCCAAGGGCTCTGGCTCAGTTCATCGGACTATTGTCCGGAGAGAAAACCGTAGACACGACGAAATGACATGCGAAAGTATTGCGAAAGAAGCAGACGTGAATAAAGTTCAGACTAGGCTAGCATGAGAGCAATTTGACATGCCTGGAGTGCATTAGGAATCAGGTGGCGTTCCGGGGTGCAGATGATCAGCGTTGGCATTTTGTACAGATTTTTGACCTCATCGTTGTCAGCCATTATGATAAATCTATTTTACCTATATAAGAAACTCCTTACTCGATCCTTCATTGCTAATACAAGTCTTACTAACTGTTCAAAAAGTATTATCACAAACAAGAAACATTCAGTGCAATCATGAAGCTCAATTATTTGACAAAACTCTCAGCTATCTTTTCACTTGTGGTATCCACCTTAGCTGGACCTACTGGAGACTTTCGTCTTGGTACCAGAGCGACCAAACTCACTCACCGTGCTGAAACTGGCGTTTCTGAAGTTGCCGGGACTTGGGTTGCATGGCAGCCAGGTTACTTGAGTTAGTTTACCCAGAGAAGACGTGAACATCTCCTAAAAATCAACAACTCATCTGTGATAGCTGGTACATACCTTCTCTTCCACAATACGGATTATGTGACTTTACGAGGAACTGGTTATGTCTTGCTCCGATGGGAAGTTGAGTATTGGCAGTAAGTCAATTCAGAATGTAGGACACAGACCGAGGTACGCTCACAATAAGTCTAGACGTGCTGGTCCAACAACAGACCTCTCAATTGCTGCCTCGGGAACATTCAAGTTCGTTGCGGGTGGAGGAGGAATGCAATACCGCGATCATCCAGCTCCGTTCTGCAATGATCCATCTGGTGTATGCTATAACGCTACAGGTGGGACTGACTACGGCTACACTTGGTTCACCAACCTGGCGAACCACTGGCACAATGAGTATTATTGGCTCGACGGAGAAGTGACTCTTAAAACGCAAGAAGGCACTGGCTTATATAACGTCGCTGTAAACATCACAAGTAAGTAGATGCGCTTGTTTCAATCCTGCCTTACCTGAGTCACATAACTGACATCCTACTCTCTTTTCAAAAGCCTACTCTCAGATGCTCTCGGAGGTGAACACGGCATATGCTAGCCCATATCACATCGGCGCATCCTACGATCCTTCATATGGTGCTTGCCCGTGCTCAGCATAGGAAGCAAGACATAAGATTTGATTTCAATGACACGAGAATCTCAACTTTCGAATGACATATATCGATATCGTCCCCACTCTTTACAACTTTTTAGTTACTACAGTTCGCACTAGTACTCTGCTGCCCGCTTTAGCAATCATTATACGTTCTATTCTAGCTACACCCAGTTCATATATATTCATTCTCTTGAACTCAGCAAGTCCACAGTGCGATACGTCATTATATCAGTCTATGTGCTCAGTTTATTAACCGGGAACTTATCTCTAAGCTGAAGCCGATCGACTACCGACACCGTCGTTGCGAGACTTGGTCAATGATCGTAGAACATGGTACTATAGGTTTTAAGACTCAAAGTCACCATTGCCGTAAGATTCTTTGATCTTCGAATTTTACATTTGGGGTCAAATGAGATGGGGCTGTGCTGTTTAGTCTTCTTAGCCCCCAACTCAGCACCACCTGTTTTGACGACCATTGCGAGCTTCCTGCACCACGACCCTTGCTGAGACACCCGAACCAAAATTAGAAACTGGAGCTCATGACATAGAAGTTTTGTATGTCGTTTGCTTCAGACCCCGTGTTCGGTGGTGTCATCTAGTATAAATCATGGGTTGCGCGAGAAGGATAAATTCTAACTAGGTCACACTGAAGACAACACAAAGTCTCACATCTGAGTGACATTACCAGACTTCACCCTTATTTTTACCTTGAACGTTAGAGAGCTGTCTATTGTTACGTTAGCAGCCATCACAATGTCGTCTAGCTCAGTGGCTTCCAATGACCTACTGAGCTGCAATTTTACAAGCATTCAAGATTTCTTCAACTTCGTGGCTGCACACGACTTGGATATCACACAAGGAGTCGAGCAATGTCCAAACCTATGTCTCCTTACTTATGGAACAGGCAATCCAGATCTGTCCGGCATAGGAGTAAGCAAGATTCAATCGGCATGTAAATACCGACGATGGCTGACAAGAGGTCCGCTTTCTAGATGATGTACGCCTACACCTTTCAGGTTGTTTTAACACTCATCTTCGGGCCAATATTCCGCACGCTTCATCTTGTTGCCCCGAAACTACCATGGGGCTCACGACTAGGAGTGCGAGACGTTATTGAATCTAGTAGTGACATCCAGATTGTTTTCTGGGAGTCAAATGGCTTCCTCATTTTCGCGTCAGCCGTGGCTACATTGGTCCGCATGGGTCAGGAACCAACTATTTTTGAGATTGCCGAAATGCAAATTCTCATGTTCGTCCAACTTAACTCCCTTCTTATTATCTTCTTCTGTCTTGTCCACCCAATTGCGAGATGGTGGCAGCGGTTCTTCCAATTCCTGCTGGGGTTTGCCCTAGCGACTGCCGCCTTGTCACAGAGCAGGCTTACTGGAAGCGCCGAGAGCGACTACCTACAAGCTAGCAAAGGCTGTGTAAGCTCGCCAGCCTTCAAAAAAATAACGCCGGTTCCATATCATAAGTCTGTCGTTTTCGTTGTAGCAGGACTGTGTGCCTTTTCTTTTCTCACACAGAGTGTCACAACCGTCTACCCCAAGTTTGAGAAGAGACCGAGTATGAAGAAGCCGCTACTTGTATTGACAATTCTCTGGAGCCTATTAACGATCCTTTCACTCATCGGTTTGTTACACCATAATCTGATTATCTATCCAAAAAGACTGAATCTTAACTATTAGGTTTGCTTTGGGGCTTGGTCATACTCTGGCAACAGAGAAATGAGCTCCGAAATGTCGCAGGCGACGACTTTGAGGATAATCAGTGGGGCTTCGGCCAGATAGCAGCGCTTTTCACCTGGGTTCCCATCCCTGTAGAAGTCTCGTACAAGTTCAACGGTGAGTGACGTAAAGCAACATGCAGGACTGTCGGCTCAGATCTACACAGATTGGCTCAAGGACCACTCAAGGTTCTGGTTGCGATTACAAGCTCGGATAGCTCCCTCCGAGACAGGAAAAAATCGTAAAATGAAGGTTATGGCTCCTGCTGTCACATCTGTACCGGCTCATGAGGGTCACAAGACGACCGATTCTAGATTTAATGACGCTTTCATGGGATCTGAGTCCGCGTAGCATTGATAGAAAGACGGTTACAGCTTTGGAATGGGTGAAAACCAAAAGCACGAGGAAACCAGATGGATGTATACTATAAAGTCTCAAGGGATTGATGTCTTCAGGACCACATATGTAAAGTTGACGAGTACATCAAGCTGTACCGCTAACAGGTAAACCTCTAGCAATAGACATGTTGCAACACGACAGCCCTTACAAACCATATTTAAAGCCTAGAGCTCTGTCACCTTCCAAGCCATTGGTCGTCACACCTTCAGCAATGAGCTTCTCTTTCTTCATATTCCGTCTCCTTAGGAGGAACCACCCCGCAATAAAGAAGCTTGCAGCAACACACTCCAATCCAGCAGACACAGAATTACCGATGATATAACGGGGGCCAGTCTGGGTCGGATATAGCTGCGATGAGACCAATCCAGAGAGATTGCCAATTGAGTAGAACACTGGGAGGGCTACCGAGCGCTTTTGATCTGGCACTAAGTTGGTGGCTACCCAAGTCACGATAATCGTAGATATCGAATAGATACCTAATTGAAGACCATATTAGTTACACTATCATGTGGACAGAGATTTCCGGACTCCGTGCTAGACATACCCAGCGAGAGAATAAACATAGCAACGTATCCAGCGGCACCACTCGAGGTGCCAACGCAGATGAGATATCCGGTCACGACGGGGACTGCAGAGCCGACAAGAAAGAGAGCTCGTTGTTGGAACTTGTCTGAGAAATATGATTGAATGATCAATGAAATCGCACCGACAACATAGACTGGGATCGTCATATAGTTAACTCGGAGAGAAGTGTATCTACGAAAAGAATTAGTAAGTTTATCTCGCATGACATGAGTAAGACGAAGATTTGAAGATCACAGATCACTCACCCAAGACCTTTGATAATGGTAGGCAAAAAGACATTGAAGCCCGTGATAGCGACAGATGAGAAGAAGAACCCGGCACCCATCACATAGATAAATGGGTCCTTGAAAGCCATCTTGACATATTTGGACCTGAACTCTTCTTCTCCCCTGAAAGTGGCGTTCTTCTGTTTCCTTAGCCGCATGACTTCCTTGTCTTCCTCCGTCAAAAACCATGCATTTTCAGGTGATCGAGGCAAGAAAAACCAGCAAAGCCCGCCAATGAAGAGAGTACCGCACCCTTCGATGATGAACAGCCATCTCCACGCATGAAGGCCCCGTCGCGTCCCCATTTGTTGAACTCCGTACGCGAACAAGCCGCCGAAGGCCCCCGCCAGCGTATTTGCAAGGTTACCCATCATGATACGCTTGGCAGTGGAGCTTCGTGGGTATATTGTCGCAAACAGGAACGCAAATCCAGGAGAAACACCAGCCTCACAAGCTCCTAGGAGGATACGGGTGGCAAGTGCCTGCCCATAAGTCTGAATGAATCCGGTACCTAGAGTGACCATGCTCCAGAGCACTAAAGCTGTGCCAAGAGCCCTATTTGGTCCGAAACGGTTGACGGCCATGACCCAAGGAGTCTCGAAGACAATGAAGGTGACAAAAAACACGGTATTGATGTTACCGAATTGACCTCCGTGAAGACCAAGATCTTCATCTAGTCCGAAGACTCGAGCATTTCCAATCTGTCGAATTATGAGCACCTCCTGTAGATAGTAGCAAAGCTAGGACACGATACTCACGTTGCTTCGATCAAGAGATGACATAACCAAGAACACCAGTGCTACAGGTAGTAAGTACTTATCGAACTTGCGTAAAGCAGCTTTCTCTTTCGCCGGGTCGATGTAAATGGTATTGCCCTCGGAAGCCGGCTCATTGATTGAGTCCGGAGTGGTCTTCGTGTCAACCATCGTGGATGCCTTTGTATCTTCCATAATAGAGGCCTGCAAGGAACGTTCTAATGTCTGCTTGAATCATAGAGTGTTTAAAGAGGAGTCGCAGCGTCTCTGTCACAAGAGACCCTTTTCTCTTTAAATCGGCGAAAAGAGGCTTATCAAATCCTGCATTTTATCTAGCATGGCTTGTATGATAAAGGCATACTGCTAGCGAAAATGATTCTTTGGTCATCAGCCATGATGCATGGTATTGGATGTTAACCTCTTCTTTGCTAGATGAGATTTAGGAGATTTCCGATCGTTCGATGGTTCGCGGCCTTATCTGCCGAAAATAATCATGCAAGTCTGAGGACTTGACTCGTGCTTAACGATTTGAAGAACTGCTAGCTACTTGTAATCTAGTCTAAAAGCCTTTAGATAATACTGTTTCGTAGGTAATGTCAGATACGGGTGGAATTCATCGGACTAAGGCGAAATTAGCGCGGTGCTACACCAACAAGGACTTCCTCGGGTATAATGGGTAATAGTCTCGGTGAATTGGGTAGTAAACGCTATTGATTACGATCGGTCTTCGCCTTCCGATTCTTTCAATTTCGCAACATTCCGATATAGACACTTGCGAAAAGAATCCCATGGAACCTGCTACACCGCGAGCAACAGCAAGATTGGCGAGAGGTGGCACTGCATGTCAGAGGTCCGTAGTATTTTCAATCCTATCATTTGTGCAAAGCTAACGGGATCGTGTATTTAGATGTCGTCGCAGGAAGCAAAAAGTAATAAACGATTAATGATTGCCGTTTATTACCCGTATATCTCTATGGTTGAGAAGTTGTAGGCTGACCAGTATCGCCAGTGCGATCTCAAGTCACCGCGATGTTCCAATTGCGAAGAAGCAAAGGTTGCGTGTCTGGTGTATCACGCTGGGAAACAGGCAGAGGTAATAACATTAATTACCCGATGTAATAAACTCTGCAGAAGTTGCTTACAGTTCTCAAGATCCCTCGTGATTACGTATCGAGTCTCGAGTCTCAAATTGACAAGTTGACCAAAGAAAATGATGAGCTACGAGCCCGGACTCCAAAGAACACCGTTCAAGATGAAGACAATACAACATCGCCAGCTAATTCAGAATACTGGATGACCAGTACCTTGGGCCGAGTGATAAACGAACCCACCAACCAGCCACGCTTCTTTGGAGTAAGCAGCGGTATTGCGCTTGCAAGACTTGTAATGGCGGCAATACACGTGGAGAGTTTGCCGTCATCTCTACCAGGAGGTCAATTGCCTGTATCGACTCAACAGCACCCGTCAGGCACTTCGACTCCAGTATACCAAGCATCGTTGCCGCCGCGACAAGCCGCCGAGCACCTTGTTGATGTATACTTTCAATATCAGACACCTCACTTCCCTGTAATTGAGCGATCGCAAGTTGAGAAGGCTCTTGAAGGTGCATACGGAAGCCACAGTAATCAACAGTCGCCAACGCAGGACGCTATTTCCCAAGATTCGTTTACGGCATATATGATATTTGCCATCGCGCTATATAATGTCCATCATCCATCCGGCGGTCGACCCCCTCAGAGTGAGGACTGCTTTCATTCAGCTATCAGTGAGATCGACAAGGTGTTTGTGTACTCCCGGAGCCGTGTTGAGACCCTCAGAGCCATTCTGCTACTTTGCCAGTACATTGCTCTTTGTCCGTCGAAAGGCAGTTTATGGCTACTAACTGGCACAGCTCTCCGATTGGCGGTCGATCTTGGTCTGCACTGGGAAACCGAAGAACACAAGCTTCACTTAGACCCGGATCTACTCGACCAACGGCGGCGATTGTGGTATTCAACGTATCTGTTCGACCGTCTTCTTTGTATCACTCTCGGCCGCCCGTTCGGCATTCCGGATGGTAACAACGTGGATCTGCCAGCCGTACATATTAGCAATTCTCGACATAGCCCAAGCGACTTTGATATTCATGCCAGAAGAGGCCACAATCACCTGATAATATTGGCCCAATACGAGTCTGAGATCAAGCATGTCCTATACAACAACTCCCGAAACCCCTTGATTGCTTGGCCAAAGCCAGACTATGCTGTGTGGTTGCGTGACATCCAATGTCGTCTGCAAGAATGGTATACAAGTATCCCGCCACCTAGCAGTGCCCATCCATCGTCTATATTTGCCAGTCAGGCTTACTGGGAGGCTATATTCAACAATTCTCTCCTTTTGCTGCACAGACCCAATCCTGTGATATCACAGCCTTCATCCGAGGCGTTGCGGGTGTCTTTTGAGGCTGCGCTGAAGGTTATATCCAGCATTAAAGTGCTACACAGGGCGCGGAAAATTGATATAATGTGGAAGTGGGTGCACCACCTCTTCATGGCCGGGCTCACAGTGCTATATGGATTGTGGCAGCACTCAGACCTACAACTCACAGAGACAAAGGAGAGTATATCGATATTGCAGTCGTGCGCATCGACCTTGTCGGCTCTTTCGGAACGATGGGCTGGCGCGGCTGGATGTCGAGATGCATTCGAGACTCTGTCCTCAGCAACAATCGACTGGCTCATTACAGCAAATGCCGAGGAAATGAGACAAAGCAGAATGCAGTTTGAGAAACAGCTACAGAGCTTACAAGAGCAGCTGCCGCCGTTGTTTCCGGGCGAAACGACTGTTGCTGCAGACCCCCTGGCCATCCTAGCAACGGATAGTTTTAGATTTGGCGAATCTCTCAGTCTAGCAGCAGAGTGGCCGGATATTCAACATGTTGATTTCACTAGTATGGATTTTTGAAGCATCGCTATAAGAAACAATACCAAGCGATATTTACCATGCTCACGACCAAGCTCATCATTATGTTGATTACCACGTTGACTACCATGTTTATTACCTTATCAGCGTCGAAGAAATCTCTGTAAATGAGCATTCTCCTATGTGCCATATCCCCTTGCGTTTCATACAGTAACTAAGAGGAATTGAGAGATGAAGTGTAATCGCATTAGCACACGACTTAAGCCGAGCTCGCACGTGTTGTCGGACCGGTCCTCCTCACATGACTCGTAGGCGTAGATGACTTTGCTTTAGATAAAAAGAATGATATGACAGCGCCACTGGTGCTCGATAACTTGGGAATATTCGTGTCTATTACAACAATACAAGAGTAATAAGCCCACAGGCGGGTCTCAAAGAAGGCGTTCTTGAGTCTGGATGCGCTGAGCCCGTGTTGGTGGTCTCATACCTTATCACATACCAATCAGATGTGGTGTAAATAGCCGAAGGATGCGGACAACCCCTAGGCGCCCTTCGGTTGTGTCCGATCTGCATCTCCACCAACTTACAGCCTCATACCTAGTATCTGGTCTGGCAAGATCGCTTCAACTCTGACTAAACAAAGGAGATTCCCGACAGGTTCGTGCTACTTAGAATGTGCTGATACATTTCTTCAAGACTATCGCAAAGATGATCACTTTGACGACCCCAAGTTCACCGCTGTGTGTGCGGCTGTTTTGTTTTATCTCAAACGTAACACAATCTCTTTGTTTATTGTCAGCGGACCATGAACGGCCACAAGATTGAGCGTTTCCACGTCTCGGCCACTGGCCACAGCCTCAACTACCTGCCAGAATACATCGCACAGCGGCATGGCTTCTTCGCAGAACAGGGCCTCGAGGTCACCGTCTCGGTCCCTTCGCCTTGGGACCGCGTGCTGAACGAGCTCGCAGACGGAACGGCAGCTGCTGCTCTCGGAGGCGTCTGGGTGCCGTCCATGTACTATGGTCGCGTGAAGAACTACACAGCGTTTGCGCAGGTCGCGAACCGTGCCCCTCTTGCACTTGTTGGGCGTCGGAGAGAAGGCGAGGGGTTCAAGCTAGCCGACACAATTGGACGAACTGTCTTGATGAAGGGTAGCAACGGTGCCAGCGTCGGGCTGTTCTTCAAGATGCTGCTCCGGGAGAACGGCATTGACCCCAAGGCAGTCGAGTTTATCCAGGATCTTGATGGCGCCATGCTGGGTTCCCTCTTCGCAGGCGGCATGGGAGACTTCCTGCTAGTCGACAACCTCTCTGCGCGAGCGCTAGTGGCGCGCCACCCGGAACGCCTCGCCATCGCGATGGAGACGGTGAGCACAGGAGAGGAGATCCCTTGGAGCGTATACTACCGAGAGACAGACACCATCACGCCCGCCGTGTTAGACGTGCAGGAGCGATTCTGCATAGCGCTGGGCAAGGGCATGGACTGGGTGCTGGCGCACGACGCCGAGACGTTCCGGGATGAGCTCGCCGAGATATTCCCCCGCTTCCCGGTCGACACGGTCGTTGACCTTTGCAACACGTTCCGACGGGATGGCATGTGGACGACCCCGGTGGTGTCGAAGAAGGGCTATGAGAGGTGGCAGCGCGGCATAGCAGACGGGCACCTAACGAGGAAGCCGCTTTCGTATGAAGAGCTCATCGACAACGGTCCGGCATCAGCAGCACAGGCCCAGAAGACGAGCGGATCATCTTGAAGGACAGCGACTCTTTGTCTTTGCCAATTGGCCCCCAAGAAAAGAGAGTAGAGATAATGCGTCGGAAGAAATGATCCAGACTGGGCATGATTGGGCGCACGATATGTAATTCATTAGCAGCCCTGCCTTGTCTCACCTTGCCTTACTTGACCTTGTTTCTGCGTGACAGCTGTCTCATGCAGGGGAAGCAGAACAGTACGTCAGCTTGAACACCTGTTCCTGTTTGATGCCTTGCCTTTGCCTTTGCCTTGCCTTGCATCAGCAGCAAATGGCTTGCCTATTGTGCCCAACCTGGCCTATTCCAACCTGATCTGAGTCATTGTGGCCGATCAGTGCATGCATGCATAGTGCTGTTGTTGCCATTGCCTTTTTTTTTTTTCTAGCGGTGTGCCGAAGTCCCTGGTTGCATGGGTGCCAAAGGACCATTCCATTGATGGATGGGATGGTCGGGTTGCTCTGTCTGTCTGCGGCTAACGTTAGTCCCATGTGGTAAATGAGGCGGCCCTCTTTTCGTCCCCACCTAACCAAAACGTTAAGAGCCGTTCGTGACCGTTTCTCAAAAAGCTCGTTGTTCTTGCCGGGGTAGCTACGACCCTGACAACGTCTGGCCACTCACAAGCTGCCAGTGTTCATCTGCCAACGCACCCGACCACCCGACCACCTGGGCTGGAGGCTGGAGGCTGGGTAAAAGCTCTTCTTCACAATGCCACTTCACCCACGCCCCCGCTGATGGCCCAGTGATCCTCAGGTATCAGTGCATCGTTTTTGGGAGAGAACGGCCTAGCTCTCTCTCCCCCATGAAAACGTTCGTTTACTGCGTACGGAGGAGGCCTTGTGGTCAACCAGTCAACCAGCAACGAACCCTTGCTGGCCGAGGTGAGGTAGTGGATGGTTGGGTGGGGCCTAATGCAGATATCAAATCAATATTTATTCAGGTTGCAGGAAGCCACCGCCCAACCAAACAAGCTCTTTCCTCTCCTCCTCTCTCCACCAAGCTTGACCTCTTTTTTCCCCCTTCATCCTCACCATCCATCTCCGGTAGACCCGATTGTTGCAGGCAACTGCTAGTGTTTCCAGCTAGACGCTGTTGTGCGACCGAGGAGGTGATCAGAGAGGAGACCGAAGTGTAGAAGTGACGAAAATCCTATATCAACCATGGGCGGCTATCTCTCTCGCGACACCGGCGAGAGCGACGAGCTGAAGAACAAGCTCGCCGAGCTCGAGAAGGAGCTTGAGAAGGCAAAGGAGGAAGCCACCGCTAAGGCCGACGAGTTCAAGAAGCTGCAGCAAGAAGCCGAAGATTCCACCACTAAGAATGATACCTTGAGCAAGGAGAAGACCGAGCTCGAGGAGAAACTATCTAGTGTGCAGAAAGATAAGGAAGCATCTGAGGCCGAGTTTAAGGGCAAGCTAGTAAGTGCGAGCTTCATCTGTGTCTTTTCGCAGTAAGCATACGATGACGAATGTTAACATGTCGACCTTTCAGGAAGCGGCCCAGCGCGAGCGTGATGACCTAACTTCGTCGCATGACGCCACCAAGACCCAACTCACTGCCGAGCTCCAACAGCTCAAGACTGATCTATCCGAAGCTACATCAAACCACCAGACTGCCGAGAACACCATCACTACTCTCCGCGCCGAGCACGCCAAGGCAATCGATGATCTAAACGCTTCCAAAGCTTCCCAGGTTGCTGAGCTTGAGTCCAAGATTGCATCCATCTCGAAGGAGCTTGCCAGCGCACAGTCCGATCTGGAGGCCGCGCGTGGCGAGACTACAAAGCTCCAGTCCGAGTCTGCCGCTACCAAGGATAAGCTGAGCGGGGAGATAACTGCCCTGACGGCTGACCTCGAAAAGGCCAAGCAGGACGCTGCCAGCACCGAGAGCAAGCTCAATGAGCAGATCACCGCTCTCACCGCTGACCTCGAGAAGGCAAAGACCGATTCTACTGCCGCCATCTCTACACTTACCGCGGAGCGGGCCGAGGCTGACGGCGTCGCCGCCAAGAAACTAGAGGACGCGCAATCGAACATCGACTCCCTAAAGACACAGGTTAAGAGCTTGGAGGATGAGCTTGCAGCCGCCAAGGCTGACTCTGAGAAGTTGAAGGAGGAGGTTGAGGCTAGCAAGAAGTCTGCCTCAGAAGCCACTGAGAAGGCTGACGCTCAAGTTGTGGAGCTGACCAAGAAAGTCGAGGAACTCAGCAGCAAGCTCAGCGCTACCGAGAGCAGCGTTGCCGACAAGGAGAGCGAGCTTGCCAAGGTGCAGGCCGAACTTGCCAGCAAGGCCGATGAGATCTCCAGCATCACCGCCACAGTCGAGGCGGAGAAGACTGCCCACTCTGAGACTAAGAAGTCCCTCGAGCAGGAGCAGGCTGCCCATGCGGACTCCAAGAGCTCTATCGACACCGAGAAGGCCGCCCATGCCGAGACTAAGAAGGCGCTAGAGCAGGCTGAGGCCGGACAAGCGGACTTGAAGAGCAGTGTTGAGAGTGAGAAGACCGCTCACGCAGAGACTAAGAAGGCCCTCGAAGCGGCCGAGGCGGCACATGCAGACCTGAAGACCAGCGCTGAGAGCGAGAAAGTCGCTCACGCTGAGACGAAGAAGCTGTACGATTCTGAGGTCTCAGCCCACGATGGATCCAAGGCCAGTGCAAAGTCGGCTGAGTCCAAGGTCGCTGAACTCGAAACAAAGATTTCCATACTCGAGGCTCAGGAGGCTGAGCTGACTGCCAAGATCACTGCGTTGACTCAGGCAAAGGAGGAAGTGAAGGCTGAGGCACCTGCCCCAGTTCCAGAGGATGAGACGCCGGTGCCTGCTGCACCGGTCGAGGTTAAGGAGGTTGAGGCTGCTGCGTAAGAAGGAGAGGGAGGAAGTTGCAAAACCCGAGTAATGACTAATGTATGCATCGCGTAATGAATTGCTCAGCATATGTTAGCACTAGATACCCCGGATAATCATAGTTTCTGTCTTTTCCACTCTGAATTGAACCTTTTCCGTATTTTGCAAGTTATCTTCTCCCTAGCAGGTCACTGAATATCACTCGCTTGTAGATATTTCGGGTCGAATGTGAGTTTCATGTTAAAAAGAGTTGATTGATGCTCTGTCTATAGTATTTGCTCCTTGCCAGACCAGATGCCAGTACTGACGTGTTATTTGTTTGCCGAGTGGTAAGTCCCGTTCCTGCTCCTGCTCCATTTATCATTACTCCTTTTGACTCTATGCCCTACATTTAGTGTTCAGTCTTAGTGACTTGCCCAGATTTCTCTCAATAAAGTTTACACATCTCCCTCTTTAGTCTGCTTCTTCTTCCGCACATCGTTCATCCCCATGCCCCAAGCGGAAGCAAATGAAGCAACACACAGAGCAGCGGCAAAGTAGAACACTCTGTCGACACTGGTAGCGTATGCCGCGAGGACATTGTGCATGTCTTGAGGCGACACAAAGCCGCGGAACTCAGTGGCGCCGGCTGCAATGACCGCAGTGGCATCGACGTTGGGAGCACGCCGGATGAGCTCGCTTCTCAGGCTGGTGTCAAAGATGGTGTTTGCTATGCTGATGGTGATTGATGCCCCCAAGTTCTGAGTAAACACGGTCAACGCCATTGTGACCGAGAGTTGCGTAACAGTCACAACGGTTTGCACGGCAATCACAGCCTGTGTTATAGGAATATTAGTAAAGTGGTTCCAAAGGGCGATCAAGGGGGTGCATTGACTGACAATCTGAATGCCGGATCCTCGACCGGCTCCAAACAAGATCTGATAGCCAACCCACTTCGCAGTAGACGTGGTTGTCGAGAGAGTCGAGAAAAGCCCAGCCCCGACAGCCATCAACCCCGCCGAAACGATCACCCACGGAAGATAGTATCCAAGCTTCGTTACTATAGACACGTGAGCAACTCCATCGTCATTGTCAATACGGCTCTACTCACCCATGACACCACTCGAAACTGCGAACACGATCTGCAGTAAGACGCTTGGCAGCATATCAACGCCGCTGTGGAAAGGAGTAGCATTGAGAATTGCCTGGAAGTAGACCGGCAGGAAATAAATGACACAATAGTTGGCGCCAAAGGCAAACATGTTCGAGATACAGCTGGTCCAGACAACTCGCTTCCGAATGATCGAGAAAGGCATCATGGCGTGCTCACCGGCGCGGTATTCCCAGTACAGGAACACTGCTGCCAGCCCTCCAAATCCGCAGAAGAGGCCGATGACGGTTGCGCTCTTCCAAGGATGCTCGTTGCCGCCAAAGTGAAGGGCAAGTAGTAGCATCACCATTGTAGGAATGAAGATGATGGCGCCTATGAGGTCAAACTTTTGCCAGGCATTTTTGTCTGTCACGACGCTCTTGAAGGGAGGTTTCTTGACCTGATCAGGGACGTGGATGAAAATCATAAGGGCAGCTGCAAGTCCGCCGATGGGAAGGTTGATATAGAAACACCTGTTAAAATGTTAGCGCGCGTGGAAAGGTGTATGCTAGTTAGATACATGCCATCGCCATGTGCTGTACTGGGCAAGAGTGCCCCCAATCAAGGGTCCAACAATAAGTCCAAGTTGACAAAATCCCATGCAGATACCCGTCATTTCTGAAGAACAGGATCAGATGATGCCTGGATCATAGGTGATGAGGTTTGACTTACGTGCACGTTTCTCTAAGGGGACAGAGGCCGAAATTATAGTCAATGCCCCATTCCATATGCCAGAACCTCCAATGCCAGCAATTGCACGGGCGATAATCAGCATTGTGGATGATACAGACACGCCGCAGAGAAGAGAGCCCAGCTCAAAGATAGCAAGAAATATGAAGAAAGTCCACTGCAAGATGGTTAACTGATGATGTTGTCACTACTGACTTCCTCTTACTTTGGAACTAAAATAATGAAACAATCTTCCCGATAGTGGCTGGAATGCTGATCTTGTGTGGTTTAGTTTATGGAGTTCTTATGTGCATTCGGAACGAGAACAACTCACAATGTCAGTTGATATGAGCTGACATACCAACCGATGTCTTTCAAGGAGTGGAAATCGTTGGTGATAACTGGAATTGCCTACGAGAATGAACGTTGGATCATGCGAGAATCTCGTTACGAACTTTAATTTAAACGTACCGTGGAGATAATGGACATATCCAAGAGCATCAGAAAAGAGCACAAGGAGACCGCAGCTGTTACTGCAGTTAGCTTTAGCCCACTGATGTATTCTGTCTCATCGTCTTGAGCTGCTAGCCCCTCTCGAGTGGTGTCTTCTTTGCCGTAGACCTCGGCATCAGAAAGGTTCAGGACGCTACCCCTGGAGGTTTGCTCGTCTGTTTTCTCCCCTTCTTCCTCTTCTTTTCTCTGACTGGGTGGTATAGTTGCGTTTGTCATATTGGCCGCGAGTTAAGATATGCTAGGCAATGAGGGCACATCCAGGAAGGGTAAATGTTGAGATGTATGTCGCCACAAGATCACAGTCTAGGAATTGATACTGGTACCCTCACATCTCATATAAGGGACAGCTCGGCGAAATTATATCCTACATATTTTGCGTGATAACCTTTCTCGTCTCAGGGGTCGGACGGGATTGCTGGTGGCCGAACCGAAGTCCGTAAAGTAAGCCGGCGCCTTTGTAAGACCCGCTCATACCGTCTTACATACAATTTTACGGCACCGGAGCCTTTCCGAGCAAGCCAATACGATACATTGTTTCTTTATTATTGCCTGATCTAGATGTAGCCAGACTTTTAAGCAGAACCATTCAATGACACGAATATGTCAGATAGCCACTGGTCGTTCGCCAGATTCATCATGAAGTACTCGTCGATCTCACCGCTGACAAATGGGGTCTGCTGTTCGTTCGGCATACCCAGTCCGTCCGTCACCGGTTTAGTCTGTTCGCCGTCCAGATCCTTCCGCCAGTTTGTGGCCAGGGCCCGCATGATCCTGCTAGACTTGAAGAAAATATTCTGGTCCCCGATGACTTCAGGATCACCCAAAAACCCTGCGGCGGCTGGCGTTTCACCCATGACGGCAGCAAATTTCTCTAGAAGCTCTACTACATCTACTGTCTGCCTTACCAGAGACTTGTCCCACGACGGATCTTCGAGAGTGCTCAACTTAAAGAGCAAAATGAAGCAGTGTGAAAGTTGACAGAACATTGTGAATGTCAAACCAGCGTTTTCCCCAGGCGTTAGGCTAAAGTAGACATCGAACCATGATTGGATCGCTCGAATACAGGCCCAAAGGGAGTTCACACGCTGAAGGCTTTGGCTTTCTGAATGGACGGAAGAAGGCCGCCATATTTCATTTTCATAAATTGCAACTTCAGTACTGCAGATATAGAGTACAACCGTTTCTAAGGCAGGTTAGTGACAAATCGGGTATTAAATAAATGTAGATATACTAACCGTTTTTTTCCAATTCGGGGGGCAATGTACGCTTAATCTCTTGCAACTGTGCTTGAAGAGCTTTGGTGAAGTATGGCACATGATACTTCAACATGTCGTTATCAGTACCAAGGCCAGCGGCCCAAGGTGTACGAAGTATTTGGCTCGTAATGAGATGACACCGGATTTGAATTGACAGAATCTTGTCGCCTTCCCAATCGGGCCGCTCAACGAGACCATGAAGGTACTCATCCATATATGGTGTCCACTGCATGTTGTCCATTCGATTCACAATTGTACACATTCTAAATTAGTCAGAAATTATCCAATTGTGAAAATTGTTGAGGTGCGGGACATACGAAGAGCTCACTAAAAACAAGCTCAACACGGCTCGCTTTTCCTCCATAGTTCGCTCCTGCGAGAAGTATGGCCTCGGTTGAGCCCAGAATGTCTTGAAACAAACCGGGCCATTGTCTGGCGGCGGCGGAGGTCGATTTAATGCCAGATCGTACACAATGGCAATAGCGACCTGTGTCAGCATAGGAAGATATGACTTTCCTTGGCCGCAGAACTTGTGATAGTGAGACCTACAATGGGTCAATTTATCCGTCCCACATCGAGCACAGCGAATGCGCTTCAGGAGTTTCTCACCATCCAAAGTGACAGAGTAGACCTAGAAGGAGATCCATGCTTCTCTCACCATCCATTAATACCCTTTGAGCAATGATCTTGCGCACTCTTATACCCATAGAAACATGCATCGCAATAGATTTCGTTGTGATAGACATAATACAGAACCACAAGAAGGGGCGTTGACGGCGGAGATCAAAAGAGGTTGTCATAGGTGAGATATATACGAATGGAAAGTATTTTAGCATAGTATTGCGAAACGTTGCCAAGTTGAGTTCTGCATCGGCGTCGGAAATGTCTGTTTCCAGCAGCGATTCTAGAGGCGAATCTGGATCAGATGGCGCCGTAGATATGTCAGTATTGCGGTTTGTGAGAGGGTGCGATCCCTTCGTAGACGCGTAAGGACTTGAGATATTGGAGGCCCCGACCAAGACATCGCTTGTGATCGCGGCAATTGGTGAGTCTGAGTGAGGGCTAGATGTAGATGAACCCTGATGTGCCTTCGCGACTGCCTGAGCACGGAGAAGGGTAACGAGGTCATCCAGTTTCTCCTCAAGCTGGGTTGTCCTAGTCTCGGATGCCTTCTTTGCGATTCTTTTTCGAACAGGGACGGAAGGCTGGCAGGCCTTCTTCAGCCGATAGCATCTGCGCAAGTGACGTTAGTTTGCTTCCAGCGACCGGGGTCAGGGGTAATGATGCAAGTTGGTCAAAGGGACACTAGACGTATCGCTAATCACCTTTCGCAGCTATCACCATCATGCCTGTATATGCATTTGCATTTTGCTCGAGAACAGTTCGTGCACGCCCTGCCATAAGGCGCTGGGGTGCCCAAGTCCGTTTGTTGTTCGGTCTGCACCATATCGAAACCCGCATGGATGCGACGGCAGGGATAACGAAGAGAATGGACCGAGCTTTAGCGCCGTATCATGGTAGATGTATGGAGTCGGTCTTCAATCCATCCAAACATTCCCAAAGTCCGTAGGAGAAAGTAGCAAATGTATAAAAAAGTAGAGGTTGAGCGCCGTAAAGTTGGCTGAATAGACATGACGGCACGGGAACGGGCTGAGATAACGCCGAATGCCGTCCGACGGACTTTGCTGCAAATGAATTGATTTTGCAGCAGATCGCTAGCTGACTAAAAGTCAGGGCACTCAAGATTTTCCCGCCAAACCCCGAATTCCGCTCGAAGGACAGTCCGAGCCTCGCAATTTTAGTGGAAATCAATCGTAACGAGCATGGCCAAAGCAAAGTGAAAAATGTAGTTGCGATGATATGACGTTCTACTTTGCTACTCCTAGTATTAATGTGGGAGTAGAAAATAACTACACCCGGCATTAAAATATTTCAATGTGTCAAGTTCAATTAAAGCTATGATAGCCTCTGGTATCTGAAATCCTTTTGCGGTTGACAGAGCCCTGAGGTCTATGCATATCATCTCATGCAGCAATTCATGTAATTCTATTTGGTTGATAACAAGTATTGAAGACTAAGTTAGATCTCAAAACAAAATTGCTACGTCCATAGTCAAATATCTCAAAGACATTGGGAGTAATAATCATTCGTCTTCGAACATGTTGAACCAGATGCGCAGGTTGTACATCCGGTGTAACCGTTTCCACCACATTGGCCATATTTCGCCACAGAGCAACCCGAAGAACCACCTCCTGTACCCGTGGTGGTGCTTGTAGCCAGAGTAGTACTCGTCGCCCTGCTAACTGTTGTCGCTGTTCCTGTTGGACCTGACCCAGGAGTACAGGTCGATTCGCAACCAACACATCCAGACCCGGCGCTCTTTATTGAGCCCCCTGAGTAGACTGTAGGGCCGGGAGCAACGTATGTTGACAAAGAAGCGTGAATGTTGACAAGAATACCAGGATCTGAGGCACTATAAGCACCTGGTAGTAGGATTGTCGACGGGGTTGCGGCTCCGCTTCCAGAGACGGTGAGTTGGAAACAACTCATATAAAATTGTGCACCGCCTGACGATGCTGCGGTATGCAGAGCAATAACTTCTGCGCGGAGAAGATAGTCACCAGGAGCCACATCACTGGGAATCTTCACGCTCATCTTTCCGCAACAAGTGTTCAAGTCTTTTGTTCCCCAGTAATCGTCATCGCCCGAAGCACCAGAGGCATTCTTTGCCCATGAGTCTTGAAATATCTTGAACCATCCTGACGACCCATCTGCAGTAGATGAGTCAGAAACTTTGCTCATATATACCATGAGAGGTCCATAATGGGCGCCTCCGATTGCTTCGCTGGTACAAGTGCGGTCTCCTGGTTGCTGGTAGGTTTTTTTTAGAAGGCTTTCTCAATATGATGTTCTTCCACAAACCTGATGCATCTCGACAGTTACTGTATCTCCTGCCTTGACAGCGCATTTACCTCCTACAGCAGATGTTCCCGCATTGCATCGAATATCATTAGAGGTGACACTGGTTACAGGTGAGTTTGACAGGGGCAATCGGACACACTGGGCACCGTAATGGAAGGTCAGCTCTTTTGGTATCTTCTGGATGTATTGAGCAGGTGCCAACTTATCATATCAACACCATTGATCCAAAGGTCTTGGAACGTGGCATGGCCAAGGGCGTTCTGAATGCCCAGACCTGCAATAGTTGCAAACACGGCAGTCTTCATGGCTGATACGATTTTGCAGATATTAAAACAACTGAAGAATAAATCGACACTGCAAGATCGCGCGTAAGAGATTGGAAAGAATGTTCTATTTATCACATACTGTATATATTTTATGTCGGATTCTTCTGGAATATGTCAACTGGCCAAGGAACTGTGGCGCCACGCAACGCGTTACATATTGAGGTGTCATTGATCCTGAATTCCGTGAGTATGGGTGGGTATCGTTGTCTTTGTCAAGCAAGGCATAGAAGGAACGAACCTGTCACCGAGGCATTCGCAGCATCAATACGACGCATACCCCAGATTTCCGGCTTCCAGGTTTGCTCTGCTGGATTTAGGGGGGTTGTAGTGGGGCGCCCGAATGGTAAGCGGGCAGTTCGTCAAGGGAGTAATTGGTGGATTTGGCCTAGGCAATCTACTTAAAGCGGCACAACGGAAGGGAGCGCCGTCCGGCTGCCCGCCCGAGCCCGGAAATCGTGGCTTACTTTCCGTGGCCGTTAGATTAAACAGAAACATGGAGGAAGGTCTCCCGTGCGCTAGCGAAGGCGATAACCGTCGTTCTCAGCGTCAATTATATTGCCTAGGTGCCGATGCCGAGACTGCGATGAGATCATGGAGCAGCAAGTCCTTCTGATCGTTAAACGTCGCAATGAAATTGGAAAGGATGGTTGTGTATGCTATTGTTGACATATTCAGAGCATCATTTTACAAATATATTTGTAGCAAGCACACTCATCTCTAGGCTCTTGTTTCAGTGGTGCATTTAACTCGAATGCGCCTGCAAAAATGCCAAGCTGCAGTCAAAGGGCATTGTCGACTTAGATTTTCTCCGCCCTCTTCGAGATATGTTGGTCGTATTGTCCTTATATCAAGCCTCCTTATTTTCTGGGGGCATCCTCATGTTTAAGGCTACATATATTGGCTGTGTGTGTAGGCAGGGGATGAAGTTATCGCTGGTGTGGGACTAGGTTTCTTTCGACATTTGTCAAGTCTAGCTTGACTGGCGAAAGAGGTACATTGCCATCCTGGCTGTCCGACCCCCAGTTCAGTAATTTACACGGCACTAAATCTTACAAGAACTCTTAGGTCAATGATCAAGGCCAACGACATTTACTTGGTCTGCTTGACGTAGGCAGCGTAACTTATCGAGACCTCATCAGTTCTCTTGATCCCCCCATTCATGTCATCTTGAGCCTTGGTGTCCCGTAGTATGCTCTCATCGCTAGCATTGTTTGCATTGTAGGTTATAGACGTTTGGTGAGACGGTGTTGCTTTCGCTTCGACACCTGCTGTTGATCCGAGGCCGTACTTTCGAGCGCTGTTGTTCCCGTACATTGGCAGCTTATAGGAGCTATTGTTCCCGGAGCTGTCACCCTTGCTACCGTAGCGGAATCGAACATACAGGGGTCGTAGAACGGGAATCGATGAGCACATGATAGTGACAGTGCTCTCAGTGGCAGACCAGATCAGCATGGGTACAGTGTCATCTGGTCCTAGGTTAGCCGGAAGGTCTGACCATTAGATATAATTTACTCATACATATGTATTCCTGTGCATTTAATCCGTTCAGAGCTACCGTACGTACAATGCCGCAGACACCCGCACTGGGATGTGTTATTAGATCGATTCTGCAAGTTAAGTTTTGTTTCAAGGCTTACAAGACACCAAGGCTGAGACCGCATGCGACAGTGATCTTTTCTTTGCGCTTCATGTTCAGGTCCCAGATGATAAACCATGGCAGAATAGCGAAAGAAAAGTCTGCGACGACGAACCAAGCTAAACAACGGTTAGAATTAGACATCGTATCTCGCACATGGGTACACTTACATCCGACAGTCAGACCGACCTTGGAGAAATCCAGCCAGCACTTTCCATCGACTGTGGGATTCCAAGTCTTCTCAACTGGTATGCATTGTACAACGACTGTGATGCTGGCAAAGAGCGTGATGAAAACAGTACCCGCCAAGAAAGCCCAGATGAACCCTATCTGAATCTTGTTGCGCACGATTCGGAGAAGGAAGATACCAACGGCGCACTTGCCCACGCCGATGACCATAATACCAGCTACCTGGCTGAAAACTTCATATTTGACAGCCTCCCAATATACATCGGCATTACCCACGTCAGCGAACAAACGGCCGAGACCATATCGCGTCGCTACAGTGACAAATGTGGTATAAATAATTTGGAGTACCTGCAGATTCGTAAGGATTTGCCAGGTGAACAGCGCCCAGATCGTGTCTTGAACTTACCAAAGCGACACACACCAAGTAATCGTCAGGCCCAACAGCACTCAGAATCGATATGCGTGTGTAGAGTCTGAGAGCGACAAATATGGCGAAAACCACGACCTCTACCCACAAGACCGCATTGGTCATGGGCCCCAGGCCTCCATAGTAATCCGTCATGCCGGAATCAGTGATGAAGGGCTTTCAGGAGTTGAAAGAAGCCCAGCTCTTGTTGCAGTCTAAAGACTAACAGAAGGAAGGGATAGAGGAACGTTGTTATGGACTCCGTGATCTTCCTGTTCTTTTGGATTCGGTGTGCTGGGTGACTTGAGGTTTTACTCTTCTGCGGTCTCGGCAAGTTGGAAAGTACAGGCACTGTGAGAATATCCGCCGATAATATTCACGCCACAGATATCATATAGCGCGCACTGTTTGGCATTCACTAGGGTTCTCAGGGGCCGACCAGCGACTGGGGAATGCGAGAGGTAGCAGCACCACCAATGGGTCCACCAACTAGGATATTCCCTCATGCGTGCTGAGTAGGAGTACACACAGAGAGCGTAGGGAGTAGCAGAACTGCATCAAAATACGGACGCCAGAGAGACTCTACACGGCGGTACTACGTAAAGAAAGGAAGGATCGTCGTCGTGTAGCTCCACAACTCATGTGCATAAACAATATGAAGGCTGATATGCTGATCGTGTTGTATCATCATACTCTTGCACGTGCAAACCTCGTTTTCTTCCGGCAACGGCTTACTTGCTTATCTAAGGATGTTTATTTTCCTTGATGAAATTTTTGTTGTAGCCGTTACCAGCTTCACTTTCATCTAGAACTTAATTAGTAGGCGTAGATCTCTCTTCTGTTGATATCAATGCTTGCAAGGTGCCATAGAGCTATTCTTTTGGAACAAGTCTTCCTCTTACACTGTTCAGGTTTGATATCTCTACCGTGCATAAGCGGGAAAGACTGCACTATCAGAAAGGGAACACCCAGGCCATGATCTGATAGACCTGCTTGCCCAGCACTGGTGCAGATCCGGAAGTGACGCCTTTACGGAGAGAATTTCCATTTTTACCAAGACATCCAATAGAATTCTGTATCGACGCGTACATACTATGTACCTTGCATGGTAAGCCCCAGGCGGACGGGCTGCAGTATCCCCACTTCACTAGCATTACTAACTTGTTCTTTTGCTTAGTGAGGTATTAGTGATTCATATCTATTTGTCTTGACCAGGCGTAGAGGGTTTCTTGTCGGTACAGATGGCTCAACTCTGCAGTGAGGCGTCTTTGCAGCGGCCACACAATGCGGTTCAGCTACCTAAACCCAGTAATACCCCTAACGTACTGTCTCAAACTTGACACCTCTACTGTGTATGTTGAGTCTAGAGTTAAGGAGTCTTCAACAAGGGCAAGCAACTCGGCACTAGGGGCGATGCTTAATAGTGGGCCCTTTCGGAGATTTTCACCTGAGACTTCTGTGCATTCGCTGAATTTGCTGAAGAATACTACTCTACCATCAAAAGTCCACCCCCGGCCCCGACCACAAACAATGACCGCGCAGCGCCACTCGCTTGTGATAGGGTGTCAATCGTTATTAGTTTCTGGCCCCAAGGTACGGATGGCGGAAAGCTTGCGAGCCACTCTCAGCCCCTTCTTCCCCAAAGGCGCCTCGTACGAGAACTCTGATCTTCACCAGTTTGACGGGGTCTGAGCACTTCGGAACGGCCCACATGTGGGGAGCCCGGGACAGTGTTCCGGCAAGCGATGGAAGGGATCGACGCCAATCAACTAACATATGATCCTTACTGTACTATACCAGTGTACTAAGTAACGTTAGTTATATGTTCCAGGTGTTGCTGAATTCTCTTTAACTGAGAGGAGGTCATGGCTTCATGTATTTGATAGAAAGTCAGTGTTGAGAAGATGCAGTCGCTAGAAGTTGCGTACGTGTACAAAGGAGATACCTTTCTAGCTGGGGTTATTAACCACATGTCCGTCACAGGTAAACTTCTGACTGACTGGGGCCTCTAGCTTCAGTTCAACCATTGCCAGGGAGTGACCCCTCAGCCCTGCAGATATGAGTAGGGATTCCCATGACACGGCTTGCACAGTTCTCCACTACGAACATCACATAAGCCTGGGCAACACCATGAAGAGCATCAAACTATGCTACAGAATGCATATACACAAGGATGTATTGGAAGCTTTCTAATGCCGGGCTATTCTGAAATGCATACCGACATATTGTGTTGCAGCCAAGTTTTGGAGAACACGCACATCCTAACCTGTTTGTGATGCTGTTGAGTTTGACCCCCACAACAACGCCGCCCGATGCTACTATAGAATGGCATTATTGTTCATATGCAAACGACGACTCATGTTCAGACTGGTCTTCATGTGCTTGGGGCTAATTATGAGATGCGAAACAACATGCAAGCCCTTGTTGTAGGCTTGAAAGCAGTGCGCTACTTAGAGAACACCCCTTCATCTTTTCCAAAGTTGGCTGCGAAAGCTCCTCTTTTTCTCCGCAAGCTCGCCGAGCTCTCTCAGAGTGGAAAGGGCGCTTCACATGTCGCAAGGATGGCATTTCGAATTAGTTTAGTGTTCCTGCAGATTCCACATGTTGCAGCCATCCAGTTTCCACGAACAACGAAGACGGTGACTGTGTTGCGCAGCCACGTTACGAGCCAGTGGGGAGCTGATGGGACAGGATAAGAGACGCGAGCATTTGTGAGCATTTAAGAAGAAAGCACACCGACGTCTACTCGATACTACCCCCATCTACACATTGTTCCACGTGGTTTTGCGTCATATCTTGCCCCATCATAACTCCTGTCAACGCCAAGTAAAAGATGGCTTCTGACTCCAAGAATATTATCTCCATCCTCGAAGACATCAGCCATGCCTCGTTTGGAGGAAACGAGGTAGAGCGCCTGCGAGTTCGTGCAGCGGCGCGTCGACTACTTGCCAGGGTGGAGTCCCCATATGAAAGAGCGTGGGGCTTTTGCTTTGAGCACCCTGTTGTCTTTGCTGCCCTTCAAACTTGCATTGATCTCGGCATCTGGAAGGCCTGGACTGCGCTCGGTGGAGGCGAGAAGTCTCTCGACGAGCTAATCAAGTTAACTGGAAAAGATGTCGAGCCAAATTTACTGCGTATGTTGACCCCCCATCGATCAGTTTTCCTCCATTTGCAATCTTTTGGTGTTGAAAGAAACCCACCCTAGATTTGAGCTCATAATCCATGTTTAGGCCGACTGTTCCGCCTCCTAGTGGCGTTCAATGTCGTTGAAGAGACCGGGGAAGATAAATACAAGCCTACCCCATTCTCGTATGCGATTGGTGACGAGAGCACCAAGGTCCGCGCGTCCTTGGAAGCAGCGTACGTATTGCTCTATCGAACTCACCCCACCCAAAGTACTGCGATTCCCCAATTGACATGAAAACTAATGTTATGACCCGATAGAAATTACCAATACATGCTGGCCGGCCATAACCTACCCAAATATCTAGCTAAGATTGGATACAAAGAACCCACTGCTACCGATATCAACAATCACTCAGATAGCGACCCGGACGGTCTCAACTTTTTTGGACGGCTGCAGAAGAGTCCTGAATATTATGAAGCCTTCACGGGCCATATGGAAGCGTGGACGGCGTGGAAGACACCATGGACCAAGATCTACGATCCCAGCAAGCTTATTGAGGGTGCCAAGCTTGATGATGGGTCACCACTCGTCGTTGACCTAGGCGGAAACACCGGCATTGATATTTCCCACGTTCTCAACGCTCGGCCGGACCTGCCTGCCGGAGCATTGGTCCTGCAGGACCTCCCCGAGGTTATTGCCAGGGCAAACGTCGACAAGAAAATTACGGCTCTTGCTCACGATTTCTTCCTGCCCCAGCCCATCAAAGGTAAGCGACAAATAGCCGTTCTTCAGAGGCTTAAAGAAACACCATGTTAATAACAACCTCTCAGGAAGCCGTGCCTACTTCATGCACGCGGTTCTTCATGATTGGCCCGATGCCAAAGCAACAGAGCTGTTGCAGAACACGCGAGACGTTATGGTCAAAGGCTATTCCAAGCTCTTTGTCTATGACATTGTGTTGCCGCCGACGGGCGCAAGCATTAGTCAAACTACCATGGACGTGAACATGATGTCCTTGCTGTCAGCTTCCGAGCGCACTAGGAGCCAGTGGGAGAAGCTGCTGACAGGTGCTGGTTTCAAGATCATCAAGTTTTGGCCCGACCCCCAGGAGTATGAGATGTTGATTGAGGCTGAGATTGCCTAAACTTTGTGTCTAGTGTAGTTCACTTTTGCCTATAGTGTAGAGGATTAAGGCCCATGGACATAGAACAAGATCATCATGAAATGAACAAGGAGTAGTATAGAGCCAATGGTGATCTTAATTTGTGAAAAGCCATGTACAAGACATCAAAATTCATTCAGCTTGCCCCTAAACGAATGTCATGTAAATCCTTGATCTTGTTTACGACCCTTGTCTCATTGTCAAGGTCGACAAGCGACCAGCTCGCATCTCTTACAAGTTTAAGAACAACCCACAATGCCACAAAAACAAATATCTATAACGACATCAAGTGGTTAGCAGTGGGACCAGAATACTAGAAGATATATCTTCTTCGAGTAGGTAATCGGAAACATACAATGAGAAATGAGGAAAGAAAAGGCATATGATGCCAACCGTTCCACAAAGCAGCCCCATTACAGACAATTAGCACGAATAGACATCCTCCCAAAGCAGCGTATGCCAAACCCGGTTGCCACTTGCTACGAAACGGATAGTCATCATAATTGTCTTGGTCCCATCGACGAACTTGGGCAATTTCTAATCGTTCGAGAATATCGCGATGTCGAAATATACTATGCAAAAGTTAACATCGGCAACCCAAGCCACTCCCTGAGCTCTTCAGTATCCCCACTGCAATCTAGATGGATCGCCTACTTACCAGCGATAATACCGAATAAAAGCCCAACATTCGCATGCCCATACGATAATAACCCCAACAGAGCCCATTTCTGCCAGCACCTCGATAAACTAGGAGCTCTCGTTAGTCACTGCTACACATCGAAAGTCTACAACGTAGTGCGAAGAGACATGGCACAGGTGTACCTACCTGACCAATTGGTGTACTCTCGTTAGAGCCACCTGGTTTCAATTGCAGAAACGGTACCCAGATAAACGCAAAAGCGGAAACTATCATGGCTCGAATGGGAACTCGATGCGAGTTGGTGCGTCCTAGCCATGCTAGAGCACCCATGGCTATTCGTCGCGCCAACTGCCTCGTTCCCCTTCCTCTAACACCCCCGCCGTCGAGGCGGGAGGTGAGACCAAACAGGCTGCGAGACGCGACGTAAAGATTTGTGTTTGCACACGTTAGCGCTGTAAACACGAGGAAGACGTTGAACGCATTAGCAAGACCGGGTAGCCCGGACTCCTGGGCAATGGCAACGAAGGCAGAGGATGTGGCCGTGTCATTACCCCTGTATTCCGTTATTAGGATATGGCTTGGCATCTCGTTAATTCAGACTAGGCTTGGCAAACTTACGAGTGCGAGGGTGAGGGACTAGAACATTTCTCAGAGCTGGAGGAATAGTCAATCCACGAAAGTCTAGGCAGACGGCAGTCATCGCGAGGCATATCGAACGCGGCGAGGACGCCACCCACAACGTAGATGACAGTGGCTAGAACGGGCATGTACAATGCTGAGAATTTGACAGTCTTCCCAATGAGAAGCTGTTCATTTGAGCGTCGCGAGAGCTCAGTAGCAACGCGGTCCTCGGGCTTAGAGTCGGAGCTGCTACCTGGCCAGCGTGCCTCGAGAGCTGAGGCCCCTACAATCTCGACACCGACGTAGGCAAACGCTGAGATGGATAGAGACATGCTAATCAAGAAAAGTTAGCATGCCTCTTGGGCTAGAAAGGGATTTTACCCACAAGAGGCAGACCGCCCAGTTCTGGGCGGCTTCTTTGTCGTAGGCGCCAAGGTCGTTCCAGTCTTCTTCTTGTCAGTTTCTGTAATTCTGGTATTTTTGTTTCACGTACACTTCGTTCCAATGACCTCATTTTTGCCAGCTGTCTCTAGTCAGACTCTTCTCTCATGAACTACGAAGGGCCATGAGTTTCCAGAACGTACCGCCAACGTTGATTGCGATGAGCACAGCAGCAATGATCAGATATAGTATAATCTTCGTAGTGCCAAACGCAACCTCCATTGCGCCATACCACTGTAAAAGGGGTCAACTGTGCTTCAATACGAGTAACAAAGTCTGAATTTTACCTCTATGCCGAGGGCGTTGAGCGCAATCAAAACAGATGGTATAAGAAAATACACAACGACCCCATCAAAAACGGTATCTCCGTTTTTCCAGAAGTCGATCTCCGCAGCTGAAGTTGCAATCAGCGCAGCAAAAGAGACGGAGTAAGTGAACCTGATAGAATGATTTAGTGTGCAGTCTGCGATGCGATTCTGTTTGTATGCTTACCAGTAAGCGACACCGACCACGATGCCCAGTTCAACATCGATAAACTCGCTCACATACAAGGGCAAGGCACCAGGGACGGGCCATATACAAAGTAGTTCAGTGATGCATTGCATGACGGCCCATGCAAGGATGCCAATCAGAAGAAAAGAAAACAGAACAGCCAAGGGGCCCCCGAGCTCGAGAATTTGGCCGCCACGCCAGTAGAGACCGGTCCCAAGGGTGGCATTGACAGTGATCATCTGTGACATCGGAATACCTGTCAGCCAAACCAATCGTTTCGCTTCTTACGAGGGAAACCAGCGGCGGTGCAACATTCTCCAAGGCAAAGGAGGAGTGCTGGACTTACAAAAATGTGGATACCACGAAGCTTCCGGTTCACCGTCCGGTCGCGCCTCGGGCTAACGATGACGGTCTTCTCACGGCGTGTAAATGGCTGGTTTGCGACAGGTTCAGTCTCCGAGGGCAGCGGAGCCTCGGACCCCCTAGACCCACCGCCGGATACTGTTGGTCGGGGGAACCAGGCCGGGAACCAGTCGGGGGCCCAGTCAAATCTCTGATCGACCTGGGATTCCGTCATGTCTTGAAATGAAATGTAGAAAGGAAGAACTCCCGCCCGGCGAAAGTCAAGTCAAGACGGATTGGTGCTATGATAGCTGGCCATCTCCCTTTCGTTGCAGAAGCTCAGCCTCGGCAACCATGCCTTGAGAGCCAGTGGGCAGCTGCGTAGGCGGCTAGACAGCTCAGCTGAAGCCAATTGTGGTGGCTCAGCCCCAAGTCTCGGCACGGCAATGTTTGGTTAAATTACTTGCAGTGACTTGGGGAGTCTCTACTGAGTTCCTAGTCGGGGGTTGCTAGGCGTCGGCGCGGGCCGCTTCAAGCCACTTGACCACAATAGCACGGTACTCAGAGAATGAACGAAAATGCTGCCTGGGAGGCGACTTTTAAGGACATCACAGGATGCAAGGTTATCAGGCGTCTGTCTGTCAGCTGAGGAGCCACATAATTCTCTTCCTTGAGAAGGCTGCAAATTGGCTTCAGTCAAATATCCGCCCATCATCTTCAATTGCCTCTGGCTTGTTGGCGTCTTATCTTTGGCGGCTAGACGTATGGGTTCCGTCTCTGTCTATGTACAGCGAACCAGGGCAAACCAGTTACATGTTGCCTTATTTAGCGCATGCATTGCCACCCTCCTCGGCCGAGTCGTGAAGGATTTCTCACTTGACATTTCCCGAGTAGTTCCGCTGCTGGAAACATCCCCTCTGTACTGCGACCCTGCCAGTGCCTTTTCCTCCCTTGCGTTTCTCGCTCGACCGCGCCGCAATGGGTAAGGGGAATGAGGACATTACGCAAAACGTTACCAAGCACTATCTGAAGAAGGCAAAGCTCCAGCAATTTTTGGAGAAGAAGTTCCCCGGAAGAGAAGAGTTCAACATCCAGGTGTGATTGATAATCTGTCTTCCCCCGGGTCATGATCTGGCGCTTGATGGCACTGGGCATTGCTAATGAAAGAGATAGATGAGAGACGACCAATACACATTTACCGCACCAGAGAAAGTGGACGAAGTAGGACTGCTCTCCTTTGTCTACGATGTCCATCTTTTGCTGACTGACCCTTGTGCTGGCTCACACAGACCGAACTAGAGTAAGCTTCAGAATTCTCTTCGACGTCTCAAGACCTCAAGAAAGGGCCACTAACGGGACTAAATCGATAGGACACTCCGTGATATCAACGGTTAGAATCGCCGATGCCACACAGGTACATACTACAATGCAGCCACGACACATCGATGGTTGATCATACCGGTCGCGATGGAGAATGCATGCTAGTGTGCAAGTCATGTCATAATGTAATGTGTTGCGGGGGGGGCCGACCAGTGGGCTTTTTCGACCAGTAGTAAATGTGTCATCCCTGAGGCTATGCTGGAGCACGGTCCATGAGGCGTTCCCCAGGGCGCTTTTTCTCTCCTCTGTATATTATTAGGTCTTTCCAGTGCATATCACCATACTCTCGCATGATGAATAGCGACATGATTTAATTTTGATTCGATGCTGCGCTGCTGCCGCAATAATCATCACTATGGGTGTTCCAGATGAGTGCTTTGTCTCGAAGGTGGTCCAGCCGGTGAAAATCGTGGATGTCCAGGCTTCGCAGGCGAACCCAATTACAGTGGCACAAGTGGGGGAAGACGTGCGGCAATACAGTTTGACGTCGCTGGACGAGGTGGATAACTTCTTCAGCTTGCCCACAAGGGATCAGTATCATTGTCGGTATATGTACGTAAATTCCAATGATCACCTGCTTATGAGATGCGCAACTGTCGATCGCTGATACTGTCTAGATCGATATGCCAGCGCAATTCCTGGAGCGCCCTTCATGTGACGAGACCGATGCTCGATCTCATTGTTTCTAAGCATGGTATCAGCGATGCCTTCTATCAACTGCCTTCCTGCTTTTATGTCCGAAAACTTGATTACGAAGGCTCCTACTGTGTCCCATACACTCAGTCTCGCACCGGTGACTCAATCGGTAAGACAATCTAGCATTGTGCGCCTAAGCTCTGCTCATTTTTTATTAAAGAGATTCTGTACACTATACGTTATCCCGAGTTCAGGGAGGGAGATGACCATGAAGAGGGCGAGTGGGTAATCCGCCAGACCGGCATATATCAGCGAATCAATACAACCACTCTTCAAAATCTTGTCGTCTTAATCAGCCCAAATTCCAAAGCCGCTGCCGATGTGGCGATACAGGACCTTCTTGCAAGTCGCCGGAATGAACTCAAGGACCGAGGACCGCTATGGCTTCATCATGTGCTATTATCAACCTATCTACCGGCATGGAGGCGATATATTGCTGCGCAGGAACGTGTACTTCTACCAATCGTAAGTTTGGATCATCCCATGTAGCACTCCATCCTACTCCCACGAGTGGCTCGGTGTAGCTCGGTCCAGGAATCAAGACGACTAACAAGTTATAGGCAAACACTACTTTCGCATCCTACATCGACAAACCACTGAATCTTGGCTACGATAATCTCAGTACGCTTGTCAGCCTCGAGAACCGCTTTCTTAAGATCCTAACGCTGGTTGGTTCTACGAGCGATATGCTGGATGAATTACTTGCACTTGATGACATGCTATGTGTATCTGTTTCCAACGCAACGCTGCCGTCGGCAGATCTTTTTCTTCGCAATCATCGACGTCAATCTGACGGATATGTGCGGACGACGACATACCTACAGAACCGAACACGTTGTACCGCGCAGCTGCTGGCAGACACGCTTGCTTTGCGCGACCAAGTCATCGCTAAGGAACAAGGAGCTACAATGCTACAATTGAACAAGTCTGCTGTGTTTATCACAATGTTGACCCTCATTTACTTGCCACCTTCTTTGGTTGCGGTACGTCTATTACTCCCAAACGACCTCTATCCATGTAGATCTATAGCGGATGTACTGACAATGAATCCGAAACCTAGTCATTTTTTGGCATGAACTTCTTCGATTTGGATCAAGGAAATAGTCGCATCGTTGGTACTTCCATGGTGTGGATATATGTTGTCGCCTCTGTCGTCCTAATGACCGTCACCTTTGGCTCGTATTACTGGCTACTGCAGGAGCGTGACAGTTCCATCTTCCGCCATTTGTCATTCAAGGTACCCATTACCCCAGACTGGAAGGAACCACTAGATGGATTGAAGCGCCGGTTATCTACACGTTATAGTACCGCCCCGCCGCGTGGTGTTGAATTACAGGGTGTGTCCGTTTGACGGGTCGAAAGGAGGCCTCTTGGAACAAAAGCGGGATTATTGTTTTATATAAAAGCGAGAAGCATTGTAGACAGAAGTTTCATTTATATCCGAAAAATAAAATCTGGAGAAGTCTATCATCCCTCATCTGGCCCCGTCAGATGCACCTTGTAGATCGCCCTTCGACCTCCATTGCCAACCAATGTCGCAACAAGGACAAACCGCTCACCACCTTCATCGCTATCTTCCGCTAAACGCGCAGCAAACACGTTTCCGTAGAGCAGATCCGGCATGCGTGCGATCTCACGCGCCGAAACATGCATCTTCCCGCTTCCCGCTCGTACCTGCAGGCTCAACTCCAGCAAGAGAATCTTGTTGTTGGCTGAGGTAGTACCCAGCGCTAGTAATCTATCTGAATCTCGCCCGGCCAGCAACTTCAGCACGCGATAGTGTTGCACATCCCATTGCAAGTCGCGTAAAGGGTTGTTGCCGTTGAAAGTTTGGATGTGAAGCCTCTTTTCCCGAGTTATCAGAGCAGCTACTGGAATGACAGCCAGTGATGGGATCGAATGAGTCTCTCCATGAGTGTCATTCGTGACGTTTAGAGGGCAAAAGGATGTGAAGAAGCCGACCGCGCTGCTACTGTCAAAGCCCTAGGATACCATGCTGTTAGTCTGGATGCTGTTTATCAACACTGAGAGTATTAATGGTTAAAACTCACTTTAGATTCTATGTTCAAAGTGTCCATCGTGAAGCTTTGCAATGATACCTGGACAATGGGGATCTTATGCTCACGGCTTCTAGCCGTCAACTCCGGTCTAATGACAAGATGAATGTCTTTGCTATTCGAGATAGAGAGATAGGTAACATCAGCTGCCGGCCAATCTAGTCTTAAGGGAGGCTTCCACCCGAGAGGTTGGGGCCCCAGATGTAATATGCTTGTGTCGATAGCGGACGCCTCTGCCCTATCGATAAGACTAACCACATCGCTGCGATCGACGAATAAAAGAGACCCCGGACCTCGATCATCGTCCTGCTGGCGTAACACAAATGCTAAGCTTCGACTGTTGGGTGAAATGGCGAGTCTATGGACTTCTGGAAGTCGCCTGAGGACCAGCTTTTGCGGCTCACAGAGTGCAGGGTCTTCCGTCGGCCCATCCCTCAGGTCGAAAATATAGCACTTCAATGTACCTGTGAGCATTAGCAACTCATAGAAGAATTCAAGTGCACGTACATTGAAAGTTGTCCCCGTTGTAGAAGCAACGAGGTATGTTTCTGTCAAACTTATGCTCTTCCAAATACTGCTTTCCGAGTCGCCCAATGAATACTCAGACGAGAACCTGGTCTCGGATGGATGGAGTGACTGCGAAGTGTAAAGATATATTTTAGTATCGGTCCAGTAAGCCACCAGTGTCCCTTGCGGCGAGATCTCACAGCCCTTAAAATCTTCGCTGGAAGAAATGCGCCAACGGTCTACCTTTGCGGTCATCACCTGGTCTGTTTTGTGCGAATGCCATGGCAACTTGAAGCTAGAAAATCCCCACGATCTCGTCTCAATAGCAACATAGGCCATAGTTCCTGAACTGGATGGTTGTCTGTTCTTGCTGGCCAGTTGGCTGTACTTTTTGCAGGTAGCTTCAAGCATCTTCCTGACACTTTTAGCGTCGCAGCGACGGTCTTGCTCAGTTTCCAAAGGTCCATTTTCTAGCCCATCGAGCAACATCTTCACTGCATCCCCTTCATCAGCATCCCGACTAGAGGCGCTTTGATATAGCTCCTTATGCCATTTCTTGACTTCTGGATGCAGCTTGCTCGGCTCGAATCTCCCCTTGACAAAGAATCTGTCAATGCCATCAGAATCATGGTGACGTAGACGAGTGATGGAATATTTATCGACGCCGGCACCCCCCTCCTCTAAATAGGCAAACACCACGCTGATGACACACCCTAGTGACCACACATCGCTCTTGGTAGTCATCTTGCGCTCTTGAGAGACCGACTCTGGTGGCTGGTATGTGCCCTCGGCTCGACGGTTTACTGTCGCCGACAAAGACGGGTCGGCGGGCTGCTGTTGATGCCATCTTCGTCTGAACCAGCTGTTAAAGTCTCGCTCGCGCTCGTAGCCTCCCGGACCGCGACGACGAATCTTGACTCGTGCCATGCCGAAATCGCTAAGCTTCCATACATAGCGCCCACCCTCGTGGAAGATGAGCACATTGTCAGGCTTGAGATCCATGTGATAGCAGACCATGTCTTCGAATTCCTGCGTCTTCATGCCACCGTGCAGAAACGCGAGGCCAGAGGCCAAGCCTGCCGCGCACGCAATGAACTCAGCCTTAGCCCCGCTCGTGGCAGGAGGCAACGCGTGGTGTTCGGTCATATAGGCACGTAGATCACAAATAGCCTTCGGCATGAAGAGGCTATAAGTGTCAGGGGCGATCTCTAGGCTACCCCAATTATCGACAATGTTTTCACAACGGCCACTGCGCAGGGAGCCGCCGAGGATCTTGTCCATGATTTCGCGCTCTTCCTGTCCAGCGCGTGGGAAGTTTTTGTTATTGATCTCGTAATCCTTGCGTGCCATCTCTAGATCCCGAACATTGTACTCAAACCCCTCGGTTACCGGCTTCGGATCGAAGAAATGCCCTTTTGCCACCACAACGCGGGACACCTTGCCATAGGCACCCTTGTTCAACGGCTGCTCCTCCAAGTAGGGCAAGCGCCGCGTCGAAGCATCTGAGATGCATACTTCTTCCCCCTTGCGTAGTACAATGACACAGAAGCAGCCCTGAATCGAGAAGAACTTGTCGGCGGCAACGACATTTCCAAAGAGATCTATCAAGTCCTCCCGACTTGCAGGGAGCCTGCTTAGAGCTTGCAGTTCAGCTGTCCAACTCTCAGTTACTATCAGCCTGTTAACGAAGGCACGAGCGGCTTCTATACGGCTTGTCGCAAATATCAAGACAGCTAAGAACTTATGCAGCTTGCGCTCATGAATTCTCTTGACAAACTCGTATTCCGATAACCCCAACCCATCACTGTATGATCCTCCTGTCGGCGCGAGGCTGCGCAGAAAATGTTTCAAGTACTTATCATTGAGGACTTCTTTGGCCGTCCCTCTTCTGGCAAATCGGAGTCTCTCATCATCCTTTCTCTCCAATTTCTTGTATATCTCTTCATATATGGTGTCGCATAGATTTTTGTAGTCGTCGATGTCCATTCTGTGCGTGGGAGTTGGGAAGAGGTTGAAGAGGGGAACAGCCTTTGCAGCTCAGCCTCTCTACCTAAACAGGCATCAGCTGAGCTCGAGCCGTCTATTCGCCACCACCCATTGCTCCCAAGGACTTATGAACAGGATCCATGATTTCGCCAGATAATGTCTCAATTTTAGTGCGGCGGCATTCTGATATTCTGCCTGAGGTTCAATTAATGGATGTCATAATACTCGGAGACGAAACTCAAGCGTACCAAAATCCATTTCCGTCTTCAGAGGTGAGCTTACCATGATAATAGCTTGCAGTCAACAGATTCCCCAAACTTGATATTAAATAGATGTTACGTAGATCGAAGTAAGACCCTAGTTCGCTCTGTACGATGTTAGTCCTCTGCAGAACACATTGATGTTCTGTGGACAAATCAAACATGTGATAGAGGCAGCGGAGATTCATGTCAAAAGCGCCGAGAAAAACCCATGCAACAGGCGGCCTAGATAGCGCTCCGCTAAGGCGCTGCTATATTCTAGTCCGGGGCGTTTTCAGCGGCATTCTTGCTCACCTGCGGCGCGCGTGCTCTCATCACACTGCCTTGCCTACATGATCTTTACCCGTTCGAGCAACGTGCCCCCTTTGAATGCGGAGAGAAAAGAGACGAGGAGAGACAGAGACACAGATTTACGCGGAGTCCGTGGGATAAGCGAACTTCTTGCCGACACACCCTCGAATTTCTTCCCCCAGTCATGCAGAGTGTTTGCTGCTCCTGCTGTTGCGTCAAATGCGTCCTCGTGGCACCTCTCTCTTCCGCCAATGGTACCACTCTCTCACAACGATTTCACTCTCCACGCCCAGCGAAAGCATAACCTCAATCTGCGGCATCGCCATGAAGCCTCCCGTGATACTTTTGGCGCTCTTGACGCTTTTATTCTACTCAGAGGCTGTCATTGGCGTAGAGTCTCCGTCATTAAAATGGAAGTTTGGAAAGCAACACCGTTCGGGGTGCGCAAGGCTGGGAGCAGTGGCATCTCTAAGCGCACGCTGCAGTCAAATCGGCATCGACGTGCTCAAACGTGGTGGAAACGCTGCTGATGCTGTAATTCCCTTTTGTCGAAGCCGCTTTCAACTACGCAGGCCGCTGACAAAACTTTTCAGATGATTGCGACTGAGTTTTGCGTTGGAGTCATTGGTAAATCGGCCAACTTTTACCTACGCTGGCTTCGCTATGTGCTCACTATGTGCAGGAATGTCATTAACTGGCCTGGGCGGCGGCGGATTTGCACTCGTTCGTGACTCTCATGGCTCGTATGAAAATATCGACTTCAGAGAGACGGCTCCGGGAGCGGCATTTCAGGACATGTATAACGGAAATGAGGAAGCATCTCTTGTGGGGGGTCTGGCAAGGTATAACTTCTTGGAGACCAAAAATTGTTGGCTGTATAGCTAATAACGTCAGCGGCATTCCGGGGGCCTTAAGAGGACTCGAGTACTTGCATCAGACATATGCCAAACTTCCATGGGCAGAGCTCATTGCCCCTTCCGTCAAACTCGCTCGGAATGGGTTTCCGATGAGCGAAGACCTCATGACCAACATCAGAGCCATAGATGACGCATCGTTCCTAGTCGATGATCCGGCCTGGGCTGTTGATTTTGCCCCAGACGGCATTCCACTCTCAGCCGGCGATAAAATAACCAGGAAGCGGTACGCAAAGCTGCTCGAAGATATCGCAGTACATGGTGCCGACATATTTTATACCGGCCAAATTGCAAATTCGACTATTAGGGCTCTGAAAGCTTCCGGTGGTATCATGACAATGGAAGATCTTCGAGATTACACCGTCACCTTTCGAGAGCCACTAACAATAGCTTACCGGGATTATAAAATAACTTCATGCGGAGCGCCATCTAGTGGCGCTGTTGTTCTGAGTGTCTTGAAGACGATTGAAGGCTACAACGGGATTGGCGAGACGGAATTGAAAAATATTTCCACTCATTGCCTTGACGAAGCCATCAGATTTGGATTTGGAGCTGTGAGTTTTAGCGTTGCTCGGAAGATCATTGCCTGCCACTAACATAAGGACCACCCGTTCATAAAGAGAACGGAACTGGCAGATCCTTCTTTCTACGAGAACATCACTGATTTTGAGGAATCAATGATCAGTGAGGCGACAGCCGCGAAAATTCGGTCCAGGATTTCAGATCTGACGACATTGCCAGTGAGCGCCTATGATCCCAATGGCATCGAGATTTACGAGACACCGGGCACCTCCCATGTTGTCACGGCCGACTCGTTTGGCATGACCATTTCCCTCACGAGAACCATCAACTTAGGATTTGGCTCGCGCCTTATTGTTCCAGAGACCGGCCTCATCATGAACAACGAAATGAACGACTTCTCAATTCCTGGATCATCAAACAGCTTTGGATTCATCCCTTCTCCCGTCAACTACGTCGCTCCCAAAAAGAGACCGCAGTCATCCATGTCCCCGACTATTGTCGAGTACATAGCTAACAACACCCTTTATTACGCTCTTGGAGGAGCCGGAGGGTCTCATATTGTTACCAGTATTATTCAATGCCTCTATAATGTACTAGATCGCAACAAGGATCTCCCAGAGGCTTTAGAAGAGCCTAGATTCCACGATCAGCTTGTGCCAAATGTCATCAGCTTTGAATATCCATTCGACAACGAAACTACGGCATTCATGATCCAGAAGGGCCATAACGCGACCTGGGAATCTCGGTCAAGCGACATCCAAGCTTTGCGTAGGCTTCCGAATGGCACTTTTGAGGCAGCTGCAGAACCAGGCTTGAAGGACTCGGGGGGGTATTCCATCTAATGCCTGAAGGTTGTTATCGGGCTCCATGGTGTAGCCATGAGAGTACCCCTGGCTGTGGTGGCAAAGATAGCCCAGTCTATTTTTCTTTCAGCTTGATGAAGCTCAAACTGCGGACAGAACTTAACCAGAACTGAACTTAGGATACTGTTGCGAAAGGTTAGAAAAAATAAGCAAGATTTTAAACGATTTGTGGATGTCTTATTGAGCGGTGACAAGAGCGGTGTGACTTAAGAGCGAAAGCGAACAACGAAAGCCTTTTCTTTTGTGCTCAGAAATGAAGTATGCCTGCCCGACTACTTAGACTGACCCGTTACACCTCACCTGGCGGAACTCCTCAGTCAGAAGACACCAATGAAAATCGGTGATAACCACTTTGGAGTGGCTCGGGAATACGCCGAGGAAACAAGACGGAAAGGGGGGACACTAATGCCGCATACTGACCATGATAGATACTTGGCTGTGCATTCCGTGCTGCCGATAAGCCAACCGTTATCATCGTCGGTTTCATGCTATCTATGTAACAAAGCTAATCTCAATATAGTATCTTACTCATATAGACGTCCCAGTGTTAGAGGCTGTATGTCACCAGCCTTTGCCAGTGCAATTCTTCCGGCCATGCTTGTGCCACCGATTTGTACCTTGAAACGTGCCAGCAGCCTTGCTCTGCTATCAACGTCTACCGTGCCGCCGTCAGACGGTAGCTTAAGGTATGGATTGTGATAAGTTAAGGCCATCACCGGGTCAAACAGGTCTAGTACCTCGATTTTGGGTGTCAAAAGGATGCCGATGGTGCCCATCACCGCTAGGACGATCGACGAAATAGCCAGAATATATAAAGCACTATATTTAGGTGGAGGATCAGTAACATTAGTATATTCTCTTTTATTTTTGTCAATAGTTTTAAATTAATAAAGATATTATATTATGATGGGTCAACTGTAGACTTGGCGCGCATGTGTGCTCGTCTCCACGACCTCGTTCGAAGAGAGTGGAAATATCTCACTGCAGCTGCAGGCTGCTGACACCCGAGACCTTCAGTCCATATCGCCTATCACGAAGGAGGCAGTAAGGCGCCCAAATCCGCGTTATTAGACGTATCGGGAGAGTTGCAGAGCATAGAGGGACCGGAATGGTTTGACCTATCATTCTCTGACTCCATGTCTTCGACTCTTCCCTTGTTCTGAGTTTTCACAACGCATTAGCCAGGTCCAGGGACTACATGAGGTTATATGAGATATCTACCTTTGAGGACAGCTCCATCCGTTTTGAAGCCAGAATAATGTCTTTCGTCTCGGCTCATCCCCGTATGGCTCATTGACGGCCACCAAAGAAGTTACATTGTTACACGGGAAATGGCCCTGTGTGAATTCGCGTAAGGAGTGGGAGAGTCACCCCCTCTCTGACTTATTTTCGCTTCTACTTATACTACAACAGATTGAGATATTTTTCATTCTTACTCCCTTTTGTGGCCTCTTTTCTACTGTGCGGTTGTGGTTGTAGGAGCCAATGGTAGGACCACTCCTCCATTTCAGTACCCATCCTGGGCACCCGATGAGACATTTCTGAGATCACAGCTGAGCAAGGACCATTACGCAAACGTCAAATCTCTCACTTCATTTCAAAAAGAAGAAAGCAAGCCTTCATCAAGATGGATGTCCCAGACACTCCCAAACAAGCCGTCGCGACCAGGATATGCCAGATTCGCGACGAACGCTCGATTATGATCCTTATTTGAAGCCATCCGCAGTCAGAAACTGCTAATCTGGTAACAGTCGCCCCTGAACAGTGATGCAGGTTATGAAAGAGTTGCCCTTATGAGACACAGATGGAACGAATTGACCTTGAACACGGGAAACAACGTTGTTTGCCAATCAACGCGCTATGTACGGTGGCTATAGAGGATCCACAACTGAAGCATCAAGAAATCAGAGCAAATCATTTAATTGTGCGACGAAATAGTCATGCGTCTATTGGCAGACCCATTTTCCACTTCCTCAACTGCAATCATCGGGCGACAGGAACTCTCAGTCACTTTGATGCCCGAATTCATATGCCGAAGAATAGCGTTGTAAGCAAGCCAAGTCGAGGGGCGTTCTGGGCATCGTGCCTATTGTGTAGCAGAGTTGATGTAAAAGCTGGCTTATCGTGAGGTGCAGCCAATAGCAAGTGAGATCGTAATGGGGTATTCGGGGTAGCCTGCCTTGGCCCGGCGGTCTTGGGCTCGATGGTGTAGGAAATAAGGCCGTTGGATGCTTGCCAAGTCGTCCTCCACAACCACCCCAATTCTTCACCATGGGGTCGGGAAGAGGCCTCTCCGTAAGTGGCGTTACCTTACAAGGACCTCAATGCTGTCATGGATAATTGAGGGGCACCGGGGAATCCTTACTCTTGATGTAGATGTATAAAAGCCTATCTATGATCCATACGGT